GACAGGTTCATCAGGAGAAAACCTCTTGTTGATTTCAAGGTAAACCGTAGAATTTCCATGTGGGATTTAGATTGAAAGATTTGGGAGACCAATCCATTGCCGGACTATTATTGTGTTTATATCGAGAAATCTCTGTATGTTAATTTTTCCTATAACCACTGACGTAAACACCTTTGAGTGTTTACGTTTCCTATAAATCCTTAAATTTAATCATTTTCGATCAGGTTGGTAAACCACATTTTGTAAAGAACAACAGTGGAATGCAGTGCTGCATTGTAAAAAACTGCAGCAGGGGCATTCGTTACCGCTGCCGTCAACAACTCTATAAAAGCCTATTCAACCATTTTGTCTGAAATTAGTCACTCAAGGTAAGAAAGTTGAATTATACAGCAGTTAAGATGGATTGCGTATGTCACCTGAAGAAGAACAACTTTTGTGACGTTTTTGGTAGGATTCTCATTTCTCAAACTGTCAACAAGAGGTTAGCGAGTCAGAGAAAAAGAAAAGAAAGGAAAAATTGACAGTGACAGCACCACGGTCACGGTGAATGTTCATGAGAGCAATTGAAGACTTTCGCTCAGTAAACATAGCTGCTCGTCAGTAAATCTATGTACCAAGAGAAAAAAGAGGTTGGACTTTCGGAGCCGTGATACCCCCCAATAGTCAGAGGAGACTATTTTGAGACCTCAAGTGTGCAAGTGTGGAACGCTGGCATATTGGCCAAAGTGTTTCGTCAGATTTCTCTCGTTATTCATTATTTATATCTATTTAGTAAGTTAATGATTAGGCTCGATTACCAGCCGCTGTTCGGGGAAAATGAACCCGCACTCATCCCCCCGAAGGAGAGAGGATCAAAGACCGGACCCGGGAGATGGCGGAAATCGAGCCTAGTTAATGATTCACACATATTTATTTTCACACAAATAGTTTATATATTTATTTAGTAAGTTGATGATTAGGGTCGATTACCAGCCGCTGCTCGGGAAAATGAGCCCGCACTCATCCCACCGAAGGAGGGAGGATCAAAGACCGCACCCGGGAGACGGCGGAAATCGAGCCTAGTTAATGATTCACATATATATTTATTTTCACACAAATAGGTTGTCATGGTGGCGTACTTACTCTCATTTACTCTTTAAGAAAGAGTGTAGTCTTAAGCGTTTATTGCTGCTGTTCTATTTTCGATTTATTATATTTGATTTTAAAAGCCCAATTTGCTCAATTGTTATTGCAGGATGAGAGGTTTGCATTCAGTAAAGATATCCAACTGGACTCTGTTTTTGCTGCCGTAAAGGCTAAAGTTCGTCAGGTAACATCATTCTTATTAGTATACTAGAGCTAGCCTGCAGACTAGCCTCTAGGGATATAACGATGTTAAAAGTAGTTGTACGAGAAACGATTACCCCGCGTGGCATATGCCTCGATTGTAAAGTAGTTTCAACGGAGAGTAAATGAGAGAATGGATGGATGGATGGGCGATGAATGAACGAATGAACGAATGAATGGGCGCTTTACGACGTTATGAAAATGACATTAGACATATACATATCAAGGTGCCTTAGGCAGCTACGATCTTATGTCCCGAACCCCACCTATAAATGATATCACTGGGTACGCCATTTCTATGGTATAATCCTAGTCACGTGAGTAATCAGAGTTTTGCAGTAATGGAAGCGCCTGAAGGAGGTACCTTCACCCTCGAATATATTAGGACCTGAATGTAGTCAATACAATGCGTGGTGTTAATTATCGTAATATCGACGACTAGAGGAAGTCTAAAGAACTGTGCGGTTCAATTAAACGACGAATATATGTTTGTCTTTTCACAGGTTCCTCTGAGTTCAGCAGTAAGCCGTCAAGTCATAAGCGAGTTTCGCTCCCTGACAGACATCTGTGACGTGCTGTCATCTTTGGATATTGCCATTGGTTTTCTATCTTCCACTGGGGGAGCCCCTGAAAGGTTCCTCAGTGACTATCTAGGAAGGGTGCTACGCATGCAGCAAAATACTCTACGGAGTTTGAAGGTATAAATTGTAGCTACAACTAAAGTTAAGTTTGTACGGTAAAGAATTGAATTTCACATCTTTTAGCATAATTTTGATAGGAACAATGAGACTTTGTACTTTTTATTGTCTATTTTACGTACGTAGTGTTTTTATTGTTTAGCATAGTTTTAAATTAGTAACAGTTCTCGTCTGAAAACCACCCATGGGTGATGGCGTGTCCCTGTATAAAGATTTTAATCATCATTATTATTATTACTATAGATGCAGCTACCTTCGCGTTTGTGTGCCCGATTTTCTCTTCCCTTTCCCTTTTGAATGTATGTCACTCCTGGTATTCTGTCATTAGTATTCTACGCACAGCTGCCGAAAGATTCTTCGTAGGTCGAATCTAAGTTTCTTTTTTGTCATTTTCCTTTCCAGGCTCAGCAGTACTGTCAGTTACGTCACGTGATCTCTCTCTGGCGACTTCTCACCCTAGAGAGAGCCAAAATTCTTATAAGGCGAGGCGAGGTAAGGAATATGAATACTTCTACCTGTAACTTGCATCTGCCCTTGCACGACATTAGCAAGGACTTCGTAACAGCATTCAGCTGATCTGAGGAATTAAACTTCCAAGTTATCATTGAACAGAAACAGTGACGCCTCCGTTCTACCCCCCAAAAAACAAAAAACAAAAAACAAGGAGACTGGAAGGCGACTTTTTAATTGAGTCGTAAAATAAACGAGAAAGTAGTTACTCCGTGTAATCGGAACAAACGCAAACAGCCTATTAAAGCAATTAGACTTCCAAGACAGTATAAAATCAGACGCAAAGTAGCTAGGAACAAGCTCTGTATTGGGGGAGTCGTGCGCGAGTGGTTCGCGAAAGAAGGCGCGAGGGTACGGGGCTTTGCCGCTCACCTGCGCAATTTCTTGCGACTCGCCTCGCTCGTTACTCGACATAGAGAGCTTACTTCCACTTGCCTAGCATGCCACGATTGGTTTAAGTTTTGCTTTTGATTGGTCGAGTGGGGCACGGAATTTTGTCGGTTGTTTATCTAAGTACTGTAAGAGATATGTAAATAGCAATGCCTAAGACTTAACCCTTTTGTTATTGCCTTTGCAGGATCCGTTTGAGCAGATTTCGGACACCTACAAGCAGGTCATGTCCCGAGGCCAGATGATCAAGTTTAGCAATGGAATGAGGAGGATTGACTTGGATTGCTTTGTTTGTGAGGTCCTGGAGCTTATTTTGCTGAACTTAAGAGGTGATTCAGTCCCCGGAGAAGAAGAAATGAGGTAAATTTGGAGAGATTGCCTCTTTTATCACTAGTCACTAGTGTGTCTATGGTGGACATAGTCATCTGTGGAATGTTGATCTGTAGTTGGCTATTTACCAGCATGAACGAGGAGTTTTATATTGGATTGTCGAGAAGCAATTCTTGATAGTGGTCAGAGGGATAGTCGACCTTAGGACCACTGGATTTCAAGTCCAACGCCCACGTTGCCCCTACCCCCCCCCCCCTTCTTCCTTAATTACCGTTATTGCTCATCTAAGAAGCTACACCGAAGATTCAAAGAAATATTTTACCTGATAGAGTTATAAAACTCGGCTGTTCCTTGTGTTTGGTTTGCTCTGGTTTTTCATTTCAATCCACCCCCTGGTGGTTAGATATGACATGAAAAACTCCTTCTCATGTTGAATAATTTGCGTATCATCTTACAACGGCTGTGTCTCCTTTTATTCAGCCTGGGTGAATACATCGAGTGGCATCTTGACAACAAAGGACATGAACCAGTGCCAGGACTGGACGCATTGTCATCGGAAGTGCAGCTAAAGCACGTGATCAATGCTTGGAGAACCTCTGTTGAACTGTGTGACAATTATCACGACAAGCGAGACGCTGCTAACGCTTGAATTATAATGTCAATTTAATTCACAACATTTCCTCGAAAATCGGTTTTCTTACATTAACTGGAGTGTAAGTAATGACCCTTCTCAGTACATGGTTAGTTGCAGTATTTACTAGGACTAGAAATGGACAAAACGTAGCTGGTATAACAGGTATCGTCCCCTTCCCTCTCCTCCCTTTGGATCTGTCACTGATCAAATGCAATTGCCAAGAGTGAGTGGCAGGATGCGTACCCTTGTCATTTATTGGTTTCTTATATTCTTCGAAAATCATCATCATGAACGGTTTTTACTCGAGATACTTTCCCATAATTCAAATATGCACCCATAGAACTTAACCTTTTAATTTTTTTTTTCTCACTCTTCGCTGCATGTCCAATACTTCTCCAAATTTGTTATCCTGGTATTTAGAAAGGAAGTGCTAAAAAAATCCGAAAAGAAAAATGGTCACTTGTACCATTTCTTACCCATGGGTGGAGAAAAGATTAGTAATAAAGCGCATTAAAATAGTAGAAAATATTTGCAAGAATATAAATTTGCGTATTTATATAGGAAATTGTACATGTAGAAGAATGAAAGGAATTGCGAGTCTCATCTACTTGTCAATTACTGACTTGTCCAGTTTTACGGGCTCAAATTTAAAATCCCTGAGAATTCGAACGAGAATTAAGAATTCTTTTAAAAGTCAATTATGTGAAGTTACTTAATTTTTGGCTGTTAACTATTAGTTTCATAAGTTAAGTAGTTGTTTGGTTCATTGTACGAGAACGACTGTTCTCCCCTAAACTTGCTAATTATCAATCCTTTTTATATTGTGCACAGAAAATAAAATTTGGGCATTTAATATTGTTCAGTTTCACCCCATTGACCATGTAAATTACTTTGGAATATACCATAGGGTAAGATCATTTCAACACTATAAATGACGACTCTTGACCACCCATATTATTATAATGATCTCCATAATTCTTAGATGGGAATCCTTGTTAGTTTTTTATTACACTCCCGTATCAATTGAGACTAAGCGAATTTCTCTTGCGATAAATTACAACTCATCATTCAGTTGTAAAGAAAGGCAATTCAAACTGAAGCAACCTTGGAAATTAATGTGAAAACCATGTGACTACTTCACCCTGTTTCAGCGTTAGTGCACTTGGATATCGAAAGCTGCTGACCGCAAGCTGTTGTAGAAACATCTCACCTGAGGTCCACATAATTTGAAACTTCATTTTGGTTTGATTTCGTTTTTGGACAAAGGTACATTGCAAAGTCCCTGTGGCAAACGATGTATAGAAGGGAACGTTATACGGACAAGAGAGCTTAGGTTCAAATGGAAGCGTTGCTTCTGGCGCCGAGAAGTACTGGTCCGAGATCGCAAAAAGAATGTGCCAAAGTACCATGTGAAAAGCATAGTGCGAGGTGCACCATGGGAGACCATCAAGTCCGTACCCATTCGCCGAGTAAAGTCCATGAAAATCCCATTCGTCATTCAGCTCTGAACGAACGTTTTCTATGGCTTTCTCAGCTTGTTGTAACGCCTTCTGAGGGTCCAAACCTGAAATAAGATTGTTTCAAGATTTGCATTAGCGTAGCACTCAAGAGTTACTTTAGTCAACTCTCCCTAAGAAGGGCACCGTTTGAAACGTCACCGAGTATCCGTCTTACAGAGCTGTTCGCGTTTGAGAGAGTCAAAGAATATAACTGAAGAACTACGGGAAAAACCCTTACTGTCCTCTTTTAGGTGTCATTCGTCTAGAAGTGTCTGTTAAGAGAGAGGTGCACTGTAATATGTCCTCGAAATCTGTCATGAAAGAAACGCTTCGTCTTCTCTTAGTGGGACAGGGAGAAAATACTATTTTCAATGACTAGAAGTAATTCAGAGAAACAGTTACTGTTTAACGATCATCACTGAGCTTTACTGGGTGAGAACCTTTTTTAGGTGTGGCAAGCTCTCTTTTCAACCTCGCTTAGCCGAAGGAGAGGCGATAAGCTCGAGGTGTGAAATCTTATTGAATTTTTTGTCAAGGGAGGTTGAAAAAGTTTGAGGGTATAGCAACATTATTACCGTAATCTGATGATGTATTCGGGGAAAACGAGGGAGGACAGGGAACGCCTGGAACAGGTTACATTCCTCCATAACCGCGCGCAATGGATGGCGTTTACCTACATTGCGTTTCATGCATGAACCTACATTCTTACAGGAATGAACGAACGAATGAACCAAAGACCAATTTATTCAGGTTAACGTGTCAAGTCTTCTAGCTGGCTATTTGTAACCTACCATTTCTTAACTTTTTTTTCAAAGTGGTTACCCCCATGGGATTATCAACTTTCACGTCAATGATGTGCTAGACAGAAACCGAAACAAGCAAGACGACCCTGTTCTTGCTGGCAGTTATACAAGCTTACCCAAATGACGTTGAAGAGTCGTCCACTCAGGGCTGGCGCCCATTCAGATTGACTCGTGTAGCGCCACCAACTCGTTTAACTCTTAGTACTGATATTCATGGGACATAAGCCCACGCTCTTGTTAGCTGGATGGTCAGTACCCATCACTCGGAGCCCATATGGCGTTTCGTTGATTTCAAGTTCTTTCATCAAATGAGATCTGAGCCTGTACACAGGGAATCAATAAAATGCGTTTGCTTCAATGGCCCTATAGTACAATACATAACAATAACTTTATAAAGGAGAGAGACGTAATAACCTTTAACAGTATTCTAACCTACGACTTTCTATAATGAACGTAGTAGTAGTACGTGGTGTCTTCTAGACTGTTGTGACTAAAATTATTGTGCATTGTGCAGCGTAATGGAAATGGCTTTACTATGGGAATGAAAAAGGCGCCTAATTAGACATTAGGACAATTAGTAACAGTACCTAACCATTTTTAGGTCATCAAACCTTCGCCGCTCAGTGTAGACAAGCAAATTTTAAGAAAAGCGCCAAAAAAAATTGTGATCGTTACCCTGAGCTCAAACCCCGGAAGTAAAAGGTTATCCTGAAGCCAGAAGTTACATCCCCGCTCACCTTGTTGGATCGTCCAAGTGTCCTTGCCCCAGAGTGTAGGCCCAGACTTGAGCGTACAGTGAATCACTCATGATCATCTAGAACAAAACATAAGGAATCTCTCGCTGAAAATCGTTATGAACTGAATCAATGTCAATACAATCTAAAGATTCAAACTGTCGCCATCTTCCGTCACGGAGCTGTAGAGGCTACTTCGCCAGAAACTTAACCCGTTTATCAAGACATCTTGTAACCACACCAAGAGGGTCTGGACCGACTTGCTGTTGCTGTCGATTATCATAGAGGCGTCCCACGCGGAAATAGTTTGCAGAGTAGAGGAAAGGTTACGCAACAGGAAGGAGGCTGGCTCCTCGCTGTGCTTGAATAGGTTACTATAGTAATTACCAACAATCTCCACTGTGTAGAATAGGACATGAAAATATATAAATAAGGTTGCTTTTTTGATCATGTGGGGGGTTTGTTCTTGCTCTCTGTATTGCAAAACGCCATTATGGACTTTTCGAATCAGTCATTGGAATGGTTTTGGCCCTAGCAAGTAATCCCCCGAAACGTCCAGCAAACTTTGCCCTGGAAACATCTGCTACGCCTTCATTTCTAATTCTATTTTGCAAAGCCCTTCACCTTATAAAGCAATTAATTCCGTCGTCGTCCAACTCCTCAATGAAAGAATGCAGATATCATCGACCCTTTATTTTCACACGTCCTCCTGTTCAGAATGTAAGTGACCAGCTGGATTTTTTCTGATCTAGGCAGTTAAAAGGCTTCATTAATCCGTCGTCAATACTACAAGTATCAATTCAATATCTTCGCCCAAGACAGCTATTTTCATATTTTGCTGTTGAAATGGTTTCGTTAGGGTCTACCCCTAGTGACTCTCACTAGTGAATTCGGCCGAGCGAGTGGTCGAGGGGTGGGCGAGGATCAAGCAAAAGCAAGATAACCAAAATAGCCTTAGGCTATCTTGCTTTTGCATGTGGGCTCCTGGCATGGTTCAATGCTAAATAACTAAAATGCACAGTAAACGGTGAAATCAAAATCCTACATTGTAAGCGACAAAAAAAAAATTACCAAGGCACTTGTCATCTCTCTCGTGGAAACGATTTGGGAGGGATCTTAGGAAGCGTGACCTCTTTTGCACTAACTCGCTTGCCGACTGCAGCAATACTTTTGTTGCCAATTGGGGATAGTTTCCACACCTGTTGAGCGTCAGCATTGAGTCATGAGTTGTCCACGTGCTCTTCTGACCAGAAATAAATCCTGGATGCCAGGCATGGGGAGGGAATTGATAGAACAACAGACATGTCTTGTTTTCTTTGGCCATTTGCCACGACATGCATTGTTTGTTATCAATACAAGCCCTCAAGCACTGACTAACATTCGTACTTTTGATGGTTTTGTCCGGGCTTCCAAGTCTTACTGTGTCAGGTTATATACCTAGAGGCAGATTTAACATAAATGATACTTGAACAGACTTCGTGGTTGGGTTATTAATGCGTAACGTAAAAGCAATGGCCGAAGTAGCAGATATTTTGGAATCACGTGGTGTGAGGGCTGAGAAGGCAAAAGGGTCCAGCAAGACGTCTCCAAACCTTCGGTCTTTGATAGTCAACTTGGCAACTGGGTAGGACCCAGAATATCCTATTGAATCGACACACCTGGTGGGAAAGAAGGAAACTATTAGAAACCGTATAAGTTCACTCGAAAGAGCAACCTGGCGCTTGTCGAATTTTTCCACTACTGGCGGTCGGCGCTTATTTCAGTAGGACTACCTACAGTCAAACCGCCCGTAAGCGACTAACCTGAGATCAGGCTCAATTTTCGTTTCACTTTGTAATAACATTCCGGTGGGCAAGGCGAAACGAAAACAGACCAATTTTAGCGGTAGCCGTTAGAGAGAATGTATGAGAACCGCTAAAATTGGGCCTGATCTCAGGTTAGTAAGCGACCACCCAAAATGCAAAGACTAAGTGGTCGCTTACGGAAGGTGGTCGTTTATAAGAATCGAACCACAGGGGGTCTCTTCTGAGAAGAGGTCCAGGCACATCTATTTTTTGGAAGACTATTTCTGGCATGCAAGTTACGACATGTGTGGTTTTCATGAGCTCGTTCACGCGCCCGCCGCGAAAATGATACATTAACGTTCACTTTTTTCTTATTTAAATTTTCACATGTAATTATAGTATCATTTCAGTGCACGCTGTTCTTTATTTCAAATTGTAACGTCTTAGCTGAACGCCATCACTGTATGTAAGACCCTGAAGGAGGAAGGTCGTGGCTTCAGAATATCATGGTAAAAAATATATATATATTTCCGACTGTAAAATCAGCCTTGCCTCTTTTGTTTAATACAAAAATCATATGTGTGAACTGCGGAGTGAAGAATTATTTGAAAGTAGATCATCGCAGTGATAAACGCAACTTTTGCGGTTGCGAAAAGAAGAAATAATTCTTCACTCCGCAGTTAGGGTTTTCCACAAGTTGCCCGAGATTTTCCAAAACGTTTCCTGTAATTTCTCAAAAAGTTGGCCGGATACTAAAATATGCAAATTGTCAAACAAAAGTAAAATTTCTAAGCATTTTTGTGCAATTTTGCGCTGTAACCAGCGTTTCTAAATAACTTTGTCCGCAATTATAACCCAAAAGGTAATGAGCCAATAAAATCGTTAAATGACCTTCTTCACCCGAGACTGTCAAGTCAGTCGAGTATGAATCTTCCTCCACTATTTTGAATTTCCTGTAAAGGCCGATGACGTAGCAGCCCGGCTACTGTTATCTTGCCTCAATGATCTGCCCCAGGGGGAGTATTTGGCTCCTTCTTAGTGGCGTAGCCAATGGAGGGTTCCAGGGGTTCCCCAAACATATACCTTCCTGAATAGCTATAAAACAAACTAATGTGCCAAAAATGTGGGAATTAATGTACAAAACATGAATAATATCAAACGAGGACAATAACTATCCTTAAAACCTCAAAAAGTGTTCTACTCGACGTATACACGGGTCACCGTACATTAATTCAATTAAGATATTTGTAAGTTTCTTTCGGCGAACAATCGTGTCACCATGATCAAAATCTTTTAAAATTGTAAGACAAGTATCAAGGCTCCATAAACCTTGGCAATTTCAATTAGGTGTGAAAGTACCGTATCCTTTTCTTTCTTATTCCATGATATATACCAGGGAGGTCTTAGAAAACACCCTGGATAGTACGGGGACCCGTTATGGTGACCCGTCCAATCGTGTCACCACCAGTACAACATATTAAGGGCATGATACATTCCCTGCGAAATGATGCGCGCAGTTTTCGCTCATCCGTTGTTCACGGTTAAAACCCAATACGTACAAAGCTTTTTTAAAACCTTGGAATGTTGTAATTAAAGAAACAAACACCTCCTTTCTCTATTGATTGTCTTCTCTCTTTCTCTCCTTGAAATCTCTCATTTTGTCCCGAAAAAGTTCCCGTCACCAGAGCCAACGAGGAGTCACATACCTAAAATTCCGCTAAAACACAGTCTCAGTCAAAATTGTTGGGACGCTTTTGTGTCTCCTTGTCTCAATGTTGATGTACAAGATTGGGAATTCATATTTTTACAAAGTTTTTAAAACATTTTACTAGTACACATTATGTAAATACTAATAAATGCATTTTCTCGCTAAAAAGTCATTTCTTTTCTGCCCATTTTTCCATTTATTAGCATACATTATGTAAATACTAATGAATACATTTTCTCGCTAAAAAATCATTTCTTTTTTGCCCATTTTTCCATTTATTAGTATTAGTAATAATAATAACTTTATTTCTATAGCGCTCTTGTCCTATGTTCAAGGCGCTTTACAGTCATGTAAGCAACATTATTGAAAAATGTTTACAAATTTACAACCATATCCTATTATATTTACAATGGGTAAAAAAGGAAAAAATTAAAACTTAAGCAACTATTAAACCATTTTATTCACAATGATAAAAAAGGGAAAAATTAAAACTATCGCAATATATACAAATCTATAAAAACAATGATCCGTTATTACTGAATTTAGTAAACAAGTACGTCTTAAGTGATCTTTTAAAACTCAAGATGGTGTTCCATTCTCTTGGTGCATGAACAGCGAATGCTCTATCTCCGTAGGTCTTGGTATACGATCTAGGTTGCATTAAAAGTTCATTACTAACAGACCTCAATGATCTAGTATGTGAGCTTAATAGCTAGGCGATGTCCCATTCAGTGATTTATTAGTAGTGTAATATTGCAAAAAAGTTCCTTAACTTTCACTGTTAAAGTTTTTTGCTAAAATTATTTTTACTAGTACAAGTAAAGTTTTTTAAAAACTTAGCAAACATCTCATGACCCTACGAGGTTTGGTGACTGAACCGCGATAAACAACTTTGAGAGGGACAAGGGGAGCACGAGAAGAAAAAAAAAAACAGCGTTTGGTCTAAGTGTCCCAACTATTTTTGTCTGGGTCTGTAGTTCGATTGATTATCTACATCGATCGGCCCGTTGAACCAGAAATAATGCCAGACAGCTTTGGCCTGTTTTCCTTTATTCTTACTGCTGACCCTGCTGATCATGCACTTGTATCAATACATCTTTTAGGCTTACGTCCGGAGTTTTATTTTGGAAAAGGGGTTTCAAGACTTCTTGATCTGCATGCTGACATAAGCTGTTTAGACATGTCCCTCCTCTTAGTTGACATCATGACAAACAACACACAGTAAACCACAAACTGAACTAGTTTACACCCAACACCAACCAGTGACCCACTGGCGAAATTAAACTTGCCTTTTGTACATCGTCTTAATCATCAATATTATTACCCTAAAATCTCCACTGGCTTTGCCCCCCCCCCCCCCCCCCCCCCCCCCCCCCCCCAAAAAAAAAAAAAAAAAAAAAAAAAAAAAAAAAAACC